TCCAATACCTCAGGCACCAGCACCATGATTCAAAATTTCAGGGCTGCCATGCAGGGCCACGTGTAAGACTCTTGCCAAGCTTCCGTGAGCATCTTGGGTTATCCCACACTCATCCTCACACCTCTCCAGGCTTCCTCTTATTTGAAAGAGCCTCTCCTTTTGGTCATCTCAGACATCACAGAGCACGGTGAACGATGGCCCGAGCTTTGAACCAGGCAATCACAGGATGAAATCCTGGCTCTGCTACTTGTTAGCTATGTGCACTTGGGCAAATTATTGCAACTCTTTGAGCCTCGGTTTTCCCTTCTGTAAAATGGGGATAATAACAGCCCCTACTCCAACAGTTGTTGTGCTTGGCACATAATAATCGACCATTTTTAGCAAGCACTTCCAATCATTCACGGCCCAGCTCAAATGCCACTTCCCATAGGAAACTTCTAACTCCTCCAGCCCTTACTGATCTCCCTCTTGCTGAAGTTCTATAGCCCCTAACTCAAAACTTGGCATGGAATTATATACTGCCTCTAAATGTTTCCTCATGAATTCTCTGTTAAAATACCTATTACTTAAAGGCCACAACTAAGTGTTATTCTTTTTTGTATTCCTGACAATAATGACCTATTATAAAAATATTTTTTAATTACTATACATATCTACCAAATTCACATTTTAACATTTCTGAAATCAGGATAAGCTTTATAATTTATCTGCACATTTAACATAATGTTTTCTCCCCAAGATGATTATCTAAATCAAAGATGTGTATTATAATCACCATCTTAGAATAAGATTCGGTTGATCGACGAGGAGAGATCTGCATGAATTCAATCACGAATTTTGCCTGGCAACCTCGCCTTCCTTACCTTCCACCCTCAGCCTCACACCCTTTCTCTGGGCCCCATCATCCCCATCCTTTGACCAAAGACATGCCTCTGCATGACAACTGGCAGAAGGGAGGAGCTCAGTCTGGAGACGTGGAGGTCAGTGTGGTCACACACATTACAAACTACGTGCATGATCGCTCTCACTGTTAGGCAGGGAAACTGAGTTTCAGATACTTAAGTTCCCAGCAAGTCTGGTGTCAGCTCACCTGTAGGAAGGTTAAGTCTGTAATGATTGACTGATTAATTATCTACTGATAGCCTGCCCTTCATTAGTGTGGTTTCTGGATTAACCAAGCCAATTAGCCATGGCCGGAGAGACTGGTCTAACTGATGCCCAAAATGTCAATGGCGGCGCCATTAGCACCATGCCATCCTCCAACCAATGGGACAGACTGGTTGCAGGAGTCAATGTCATCCATTTCTCAAATCGTCACCCCTGCAACTCTCTCTGAAAGTAAGCCCTCATGCCTGCCAGGGGACTGACGTTTGGTAAGAAAACAACTAAAGAAGATTCTGTCTTCCAAAACCCTCTGTTTGAGTAGGCATCCTTTGCTTGGGCCTCGTATCTGTGACTTCGTACAGCAATTACAGCTTCAGATTTATTCAAACTGACTCAATGCAGAGAAACTTTGATTAGGTTGACTTCCAGTCTATTATGAGAAGAGAGGAGACTAGAAATACAGTCATGCCATTGTGTTGGCTGTTTCATAAACATTATGATAATTCAGCTTTATAACAACAAATCAGTATTCTTATCCTCATTTTTATTATGCTTCTGCCAACCATTGATTTTGCCATTGTTGAACCTCCATGATGCCTTCAGTGCTGGAAATCACACAAAGATCCCTTACTTCCGTGAGGCTCATAACCAAGGAGGAATTATCAGAGAGCCACCAACTGTTGCCATGTACTGAATTAGAGTTTCTGGTCTGGAGAACGGGCAGCCCAAACAGCTAAATGATGAGTTGGATATAGGAGGCAGGGGAAAGATACCCAAAGAGAAAAACAAAACAAATACACAATCAGCCAAAAAGAATTGCTTGAGCACCGATTTATGCTTTTGTCCATGCTGGGTGTTTTAGGGGACAACAGGTTTACAACTCTTGTCCTTGCTTTTAAAGATCCTGCGAACAACCTGAGATACCTAAAAACAATGGTATCTCTTCGACTCAAATTCTGCCTCCATCGGAGGTTTCAAATGATAACATAATGGTGAAGCTTGTGGACTCTGTTGCTATCTGCCTGGGCTCAAATCCTGCTTTGAATCCTACCAGCTGAATGATATTGGGCAAATTACTTAAACTCCTTATGCCTGTTTTCTCAGTAAATTTTACGTAATAATAATGGTAGCTACCTCAGAAGAATGATGTAAGGATTAAATGACTTAATACATGTAGCATGCCTAAACTGTTCTAAATGCCTCATGTATGGTAGCGATTATGATTATGCATTGTAGAAGGGCAATATTGTCCTATTTCCTATGGCAATGCCGAAAGGTAACATTTATAGTCAACTCTGGCTTCGGTGTCAGTTGCTTGCATTTGATCCAGCGGAGTCTAATGGCCTCCTTGTTTAATTACTTTAACAAATGTAACAGGCCAGCATGTAGATAATAGAGGACATGCTTGGGACTCTCACCACTTCCCAAGGTTTTAACTCATTGAATTCGCCCAACAACTCTAGAAGAGATGTATTCTTGGTCTCCATTGTATAAATGAGGAAACTGAGATGTAAGGATTTTAAATATACTTCCCAGGCTCACCTAGCCAGCAAATGGCAAAGCAGGCATTCAAACCTCAGAAGTCTCCCTCCAGTAGCTCTTATAAGCCTAGTGTTACTGTTGTCACTGTGTGCCTGAGACACCAGAAGGAGAATAGGCTGGAAATTCTGAAATGCTCCATTCCTTCTGCCCACCTCTTCCCCATCCTCAACTCCCATCTCTTGTCTTTGACTAACATTCATTATACAGTTTTTATAAGCTTAGTGTTTGATATCATCCAAGATCTCTACTCCAATCAATTTTAGGTTCAATGTGATAGTTAGACTTAATTAGAGTCAAATTCCTCTTTTACTTTGGTTTTATCTTAATCACCCCTTTTATCAACTGGTCCAGAAGCCTATAATTTCCCACACAGGCACTCAGAGATGCCGTATTATACTGTCAGAATCATGAAACAAACAGAGTTTGTTGTCATATACATCCACTGTCAGAAAACTTTTCACTCCAAAATATTTGAGCCAAGACAGTATAGAAAAAATATAATTTCTCAAAAAAAAAAAAAAAAACGCTCTTCTAAAAACAATAGCAGAATAATATGTTTACCTCGAACACTTCTCCACTGGAAAGAATGTACATGTGCAGACACAAACCTGAGAAGCATTTCAGAAACCAGTGACAAGATGGGAAAGTGCCCAACAGCGGGGAACATGGTGTGTAGGACCATTGCGGTCCCCCAGACACCAAGCAGGAAGAGGCAGATCACAGAATTTTAAGGCTTAAAAGAATCTCAAAGACCATCTAATCCAGTTCTTTGCGAACTCTTTTTAAGTACAGATTCTTTTGTTCAAGTGAAATCTTATCCTGAAAATTTGTATAAAAGCTGAGATGCTCTTATTGAAACAGGGAAGAGAAGCCTAAAGCCTAACCCACTCCACTCCCATCCTCTCACCCTCAGATCCCTTATGAGGGCTCTGGGGAACCCCTGGGGTTCCTTAGACCACGGTTTGAAAATCACTATTCTAATCCAACCTCCTCTTTTTACCACCGGGGGAAACGAAGCCCACAGAGGCTACTGGACTTGCCTGAGGTTACACAGCAAGTCAGCAGCCTAGGCCGTCCCCATCTTCCTTCAGCAATTTTTCCATGATGGCACCTGAGTTCTCTATGAACTGCCCTTTGTTTCACCAGACCGTTCACGTATTTGTATTTGTGTGTTTGTCCCCGTGCCCAGTATTCCCAAGAAAACCTAACAAACCAGTCGCTGCTTTCACCTTAAAGCTTGGAGTCTGCACTTTGGACACGATGTCTCAGCTCCCCAAGACAGCTGGACACCCAGTGCAATAGGGTCATAAATACTGTCCCATGACCGAGGACGCTGTATTTCACAGCCTAAATTAGGTCGAGCTTCTGCTCTCACAGGGAAGTCCTCAAAAGCAGGTAGTTCTTTGCTAGACACCTGAGAGCTGGCATCCAAGTCAGGTCCCACCTCATAGCTGTAGACACCTGACTGGGCACCTAAACCCCTTCGTTTCTGTGTCCACGAGGTATGGGGTGGGGAGGTGGGAGAAAGCTATCACAGGGCTCATTACACCCAAAGATGTCAAAAGTCGAACAAGTTCATGTATCCAATGCTCCGTTCGTGCTTTGAGTGAAAAAGGAGAAGAAAGGCCCAACAGTGGTTCTGCAAGCTGGCCGCTCCCCTCAGCTAGTGTGAAGGCATGAGTCTGGAGGAAATGGTAGAGAAGCGGGGTTTGGTTACTGTGCTCTCTCAGGGAAAACGCTTTGACCATCACGGCTGACAAAAGGCTGTTTGGTGCTTCACTGGCATTACCTCACGTGATTCCCACAACCCCCCGTGGATAGGTACTATTATTTGCATCAGAGCAATGAAGCTCAGACAGGCTTATTAAGTTATTCAAAGTGACACAGTTAGAAAATCAGGGACCTAGAATTTGAACCCGAAGCCATCGAGCTGCAAAGCCTGCGTTCTTAACCACTACCCCATCCTTCCCTTCCTCCCTGCCACATGGGGAAAAGGGGAGAATGACATGCTATATAAAAGTGCAGGAGTCCACCAGGCCAGGAGCAAGGCTACTGACACAGGCACTGGGGCTGCATTTTGGAGCTTCCCCTCCAGCTTGCACAAACCAGAATCCCCAGCCAACGCAGGATCCCACAAAGCTCCCAGAGGCAAGAATTCTCAGTTTGTTTACTGAGTCCCCTGGGCCAGGAGGGAGGGCTGTGAGCTGGGCTCAAAAGCAGGATAAAGGTAAACTTTCTGCACGTGAGAACCATCCCCCCCCCCCCAAGGAGCCGTGTCACACTGTATGTCACCGTCATCAAAGGGGCTGTGCGTAAACCTGAAAAACCAAACGGACCTGTCTGTAGGTGTTACTTATATCACAAGGCTACAGGTGCCTTTATCTCCACTGTACGCTGGTGCTGGGAGCGCCTGCCTTCTCTTGCCTTGAAAGCCTCCTCTTTGGACCTAGTCACCGCTGTCCTCACGTAAGCACCTTTTCTTTGCTCTTTTGGCTGGATTGTAAGGGGTGTCAGGGATTAGAGGCTCGGGCTGGGGCCTGGGTCTGTTTGTCGGTCTCCAGCTCCAGTCTACCAGTCTACCTACCAGTTCTGTCAGTCACGGCACCTCCCGGGAGCTGTGTGAGTGGAATTTCACTGCTTGCCTGAGAGAGACATTTTTGCCTCCTCAAGCTGTGTAGCCACCCACCCTCCCCTCGGCAGCCCCCACTCCCTCTGGATCACTCCACTAAACCAAGGGAAACCAAGAGGGAATGCGTACAGGCACTCAATTCTCCATGCTTCCTAAAGCTCTCTTTAGGAAGGAAAGCTGGATCTTACCCTGAAAAGATCTTCAGCTTCAAGGAAAGCCCACCTCCCCCTGGTTAAACTCTTCCTTTCCCCACTGGCCTGCTCTTGGTCCCCACTTTAATCTAGAGAAAATAAGCTGCCTTATTACAATATGGGGCATTTTTTCAGGAATTTGTTTGTATGTAATAGCTTAAAAGAAACCTATTTTGTCCTCTCACGCCACCTTAGTATAGAATCCTTCCAGAAATGCAATGATTAGGGTTTTTCCACTATATTCTCAGACATTTTTCAAAGACTCTGCAGTGTATGGGGCTGGGGGATGTGGGGGTGGGGTTGGGGGAACCTTATGCAGCCTCCCCCTACTGGCAGCCACTGGTAGCACATGCTCTCTTCCTGAAGCGGCAGACAGACCTTTGGATGTGCTAATAATTTTACAAGCCCAAAAGGATGTCAGAGATCATTAGGTACAACCTCTTCATTTTACAGATGAGGAAAATGAGCCTAGAAAAGCAAAGTGATTTAGGGAGACAGCTTTGTGTTTTAGTCTAAAGACCCATGAAAAGGGGTTGTTTGCCGCCCTGAGTGAAAGCTTAATTCTCTTGTCCCCATGTTCTCTGTGAGAATGTTTTTCGTGATTCAAAGTATTCTCAGCAGGCATTTTCACAGTTTCCTTGACTTCTTTTCTCAGAAGTCCTCTGATAACAGCCTTTTAGATACACCAATGATGATCAGTTCCACCCTCTCCCCCAAGAAATGAATCTGTGTCCTGTTCTCAGTCTTCTGCATATATTATCTAATTTTATTAAATCCTCGGGACATTGTGACAAGTCCATATTAAAATCCTCATTTTAGAGATGAGCTTGGAGACAGTCATGGATTTTCATATGCCACACCTTGTATTAAACAAAAGTAATTTTGACAGGCTGAGTAATAAGAAACATGTGTCCCAAATATGTGTCACGTGTTTCTTGACTTGTGAGTGGCTGAGGGAGAATCGAATCCCCAATAGGTTTAATCCAAAACCGAGAAGCTTTGCATTGGAGCTCACCGTAAACTGTATGGAATACCTTCTGTGCGTCTTTGCTGCGCCTTCAGTAAAACAACTAAAAACAAACTACCAAGCTCCCTAAGCAAGCTAAAGAAAGGTGAAGAATCGCTTGGCAAGACGTCAGCAAGTCGGTTCTCCCAGCTGCTCTGGTTTCTCCCAGAAGAGCAAACACTCAAGCACCCAACCTACAATTCTTTAACGGCAAGTGTTGAAATAGTCCATTGGGATCTCCTCCATGTGTCCCTTCTTGGCAGGTACAAAGAGTGGGAGATTGACCCTATCTTGCCCACGGGACTCGGGACCAAGTGCACATTCGGGTGTCACTGTGGCTTAGAAGGAAGAAAAACATTTTTCTTCCCACTGAGACTGCTCAGATGGTGGGATCCTTTATCAGCGGTCCCCAACACTTTGGGCACCAGAGACCAGTACTCTTATGAGAATTTAGTGCCTGATGATCTGAGGTAGAGCTGAGATGGTGATGCTGGCGCTGGGGAGCGGCTGCACACTCAGGTGAAGCTGCACTAGCTCGCTCTCCGCTCACCTCCTGCTGTGCGGCCTGGTTCCTAACAGACCACAGACCGGTACCGGTCCACAGCCTGGGGAGTGGGGACCCCTGCTTTATACCCTTACAGCCTGGTTCTACCTGGTAATGTTTTGGTGCATAAACAGCCAATGCATAGATGCTTAATTGGGTGGATTGTTGGTCACATGGCCAGAGTGAAGTTGATGATCTCTGACAGAGTCAGGAAGGAATTTTCCTCTTCTGGCAAACAGGCCAAGGCTGAGTGGTTTGCTCCTTCCCTCTCTCTCTGGAAGGCTGAGCAGAGGTGCCCAGTTGCTCAGGCCATGGTCACCACACCTGTGATTGCTGCTTTGAAGCCCACAGGCCTGTCCCTCTGACTGTGTGGAGTCTCCTTGTGCACACTGGGTGAGTGCGCCGGCTCTCAAAAGGGTTAGGAAGGCCTTGGAGTCATCGGGGACCTCAGCCTCTATGCCATCGCTGTCTCATTCTGAAAGGTACCTGTGGCTAGCCTTTCTCATGCATGAAAGGGAACCCACCTGATTCTTCCCCCTTGTGTGGATTATGTTTGATCCTCTACTACTTACTAGGCAGCTAGAATGGTGTCCCCATTTGGGGAAACTGATTCCAACAGCTGTGGGTCTGTTGACGCGCAGCAAGCGAGGGTTCGAAATGCATGAGGGGCCTGGATAACGCAGGCAAAGAATATCCAAAACCCACTGCTGAAAGTCATGGGCATAGGAGGAATGGAAGGAGAGGAAATCGAGGGGCTTTTTCAGAGCTAAACGTTTAACCTCTGCTGGTAGTGGTCTGATGAGCTTGCTCGACCACAATATCCAAATACGACCAACACGTATGTGGACGTGGATGAGTACACATGTCTGGGTGTGCTGGCCCAGTTGGGAGGGTGCCTGAAGAAAATCACAGAGCTAAGGCACAGCCTGGAGTCCACGTCGTCAGTATGTTCATTTAGTAGATGAAGAATTGAGGCTTGGAGAGATGCAAAGGCAGAATCATGACTCTCAGTCCAGTGCTCTTTCCATGATGACAGACCAGCCAGCGCCTCAAAAAAACAAAAATGTGTGGCTAGAACAGCAGGCCTAACACCCTCCCTAGATACCTCCTTCTTGTCCTGCTGCTGACTCTAGGTCTAACCTAGTGACACTCAATCTTTTTTTGTTATTGCTCCACCAAGGAGACTTTTAAGATAATTGTTTCTTAAATGTCTCCCCTCCTCCCCCCATGAAATGTTAATACCATAGAAATACTGCATATCGTTAATGTACTATGGCCCCTTGGAGGATCATAAAACATAATAATAGCTAAGATTTTTTGATCTCCAAGAAGAAATTTTTTCCCTCTGGGGTCAATATTACCCCCGCTGGGAATTATGATCTCACTTTAGGCCTGGCCCTACCCATCACTGGGCTTCAATGCCCTCACCCACCCTGTCCCGCCTACATTAAAAGAATCTTAAGAGCTAAAATGTTCATATATTGCAAGGATTCAAGAGGGCCTAAGAAGTTGGGCTACTGAATACAAAGCAGCCATTATTCCTGAACTCTCACACTTAGAGCATGCTGGCCAAGCAGCCAAGGTCTTTTGTGGAAAGTCCAAGTTAATAATATCCCCTCCTATGCAATAGAAGGGAGAAAAAAAACTTCTGTTGCTTTTATAAAAACATTTTCCCAAAAAGCAAGAAATAATTACAGAAGAAAAATAGCACGTTATACAACTGAGAGAGCCCTTTAAGAAAACTTAATGGGTATAATCGGCCATAGAAGGAATTACAAAGGGAATCAGATATAGCTCTGTGTAAGGCACTAGAGAGATTACAGAGCAAGTTGAGTGATCTGGTATAAGAGAAAAAAAAATTCTTAAAAGTGGTAAATTTCCTTTTTCATCAAAAACATTCCTAATTTTGATATGACTAAATTCAATTTACCAAATGACTTTCACGAGCTATCCGTCCAGTGTACATGAGGGAGCACTCACTCCCGCTGTCGTGTTTATATCTGGAGAATTTTCTTACTGACATTGAAGACCTGGGGATGGTTTTCTATTTTCCTCCATGTGGAGTCCACCTCTCCTTTCTCCAAACCCACCATGAAGGACATGTCAGAAGTCTGTCATCCTCTTCTTCATCTGGCCCAGAGGGGAAGGGGGCTTTTTACCTGGAGCACTCACTTAGGGGAACTTTCCTGAGGTCAAGTCCAGAAAGTGGAAAGAACTTTGTGCTCCAGGGGCCTTTCCCTTTCTCATAACCTCCTACTCCCATCCCTCTTTATCCTGCCTCCCGCTCAGGATATAAAACCAGCCAATCCGTGGGAAAATCAGAGTCCAAATCCAGGCAGCCTTGACCTCTGTTTGATATGGCTCTCAGGGAGAGATCCATGAACATGATAATCCACCCTGCAGTTAACCCTGTCTGGAAGGAGGCTTCCCAGTGGGGTCTGGTGACTCTTTCTTAATGGCACAGAAAGGTGCCTACCTGTGAGAATTTGAACTCAGTAATTTATCTATGTCAGGAGCACAGTTCTCATGCATATTTGATGGTGATGATTCTGGTAGATTTGCAAACCCCCCAAGCAATTGGTCTTTGGTTCTGTAAGCTCAAAACCCAGTCCCCTCTTGGTACTGAGGTCTTATTTGATACGTAAGTGTACCTTGGATGTGTCAACAGGCAGATGTGACCATGAGTGTTTTAAGAAGGAAACGCAGATGAGCCAAGAGTCAGAAAACTTAAGAACTCTGGTCATACAATATAATGCCATTGGCTGTGTGACCTTGAGAAGTGACACAAATTCACTAAGCTTTAAATTTCTAAATTGTAGAATGACAAGGTGAGGGGAAAGATGCGACTAACTCAGTATTTTCCAACATGTGGTACTCATGCCATCCATGACACACGAAGCAAACTTTTACTTAAAGGGACAGATAGTAAATATTTTAGAATTTGCAGGCCATTTAGTATATAACCATTGAAAAATATAAAATAAGTCTTTAGCTGCAAGCCATTCAAAAATAGGTGGTGAGCTGGATTGGGCCAGTAGGTTGTATTTTGCTAACCTCTGATTTAGGTGGTACGTGGATGAACAATTTTTATTTAAATGCTTATGTTTTAATTGTTATGTATGTTTTAAAAAAATACTGACTTTTTATTTATAGTGGTGATACAAGGTTTTCCTCTCAAACAAATGTATTTATGTTAAAACAAAAAGGGAATTGATTTTTTAAAATATATTAAGTAAATTATCGTAACGGTAGGCAGATGACTAAAGTTGGGAAAACACTAGAAGAGATGATTGATAAGCTCCTGGCCATCTTAGAATTCCATGTGTTTAATATCCCAAGACCCGGAATCCAGTCTCTGTTCTGAAACTTACCGGCTGTATGATCTTGAGCCGCTGTGTCTCCTTCGCAAAATGTGAGAGTAGAAACACCCTATTTCATCAACATAACTATAATAAGAAGAAAAGAGAAGTTGGGCAAACAGATTTTTATAATCCACTAGACATGGGGTTTTTTTGTTTTTGTTTTTGTTTTTGTTTTTGGTTGAATTGTGGGAATACAGGAAGCAGCAAAGAGAAACTTGAAGGATGAGACTTGCGTGAGCAAGTCTGCATCCACTACAGCATTACCACCTTGAATGTGCTCAATCCTGTCTGATCTCGGAAGCTAAGCAGGGTTGGGCCTGGTTAGTACTTGGATGGGAGATCATCTAGGAAGATGAGGTGCTGTAGCGTTTAAAAAAAAAAAAAAAAGAATGCATCCAATGGGGGCCCCAAGCCCATCTCTTCTTCCCCCTTCCGAGCCTTGACTGGCCACCTTCTTTCTCCCAAAGTGTCGCACTCACCAGTGTGCCCAGGGAGTGGAGCACAGCCATCAGGGTCATGACTCCTTAAATAGACAAACCCGAGCTGTCACCCAAATTCCACCCAGCTGGGAGGTTTGGATTATGTTACCTGGTATGTCACAATGTCCATCCCTCATGTATAAAATGGAACAACTACCAGAACCTGTCTCAGAATGGTTGTTCTGAGGAGACCATGAATAAAGAATGTAAAGTTGTAAAGTGCTCAGCACAGAGTCCAAAGTGAATAAGTGTGTGTAACAGTTATGACCCAAACCCCCAGGCTGGATGCGCTGCAGAATTCAGAATTCTTCAGGCAGTAGGAAGATTATACAGTGTGTATACTGCAGAACGCAGAACACTCCTCTCCAGATATTCCTTCTACGACTCCTTAAACACATTAATATTCCTGCAGTGTATCACATGACTAGCCATCAGGTAGAATCAATAAAATTGTAACTATAGTTGTAAAACTATATAGAATATAGTTTGTATATGCTTATATGTGTATAGCATATAGTGTATATATTTGTATAGATGCATAGATTAACATATATATAACAGTATATAAAACTCTATAACATCGATTCAGGACTATTTTTTGCTGGGGAATAAGTTTGCACCAAATATAGACACACACACACACACACACACACGCACGCACTTTCGGTTTCAGAGCTCTTAGATTTCAGAATTTTGGATAAGCATTTGTGGGTTTATAACAACTCTTGCCCGTTTTTCAGAAGCATATTGTAAGACATTATAAGCCAGAGTTCAGGGGTCAGATGTGAGTAAATAGGAAAAGTAAAGACAGGCAGTGTTGCGTAATAAGAGCCCCAATCCTCAAATCTGGCTTTGCCTCTTACTGGTCATGTTACGTAAGCCATTGTCTCAGCCCCTCAGCCTCAGTTTTCTCATCTATGAAATGGGGATAGGTGAATGAACCTCACGGGATGTGGCAGGATTAATTGATGTCATCGTGGAGAGCACATAGAGGGGTACCTGGCTCCTAGGAGTCTGCTTGCTTGTGTTTGCTCTCATTATTAAAACCAAGGGTGGCCTGCTGAGGGCTCCCGCAGGGTGGCTCCTGGGAGTCGTTTGCCTCCTCACAGCCTCTCCCCACTGTTGCAGGGTGATGTTGGACTCAGTGACACACAGCAGCGCCTTCCTGCCCAACACGTCCTTCTGCGACCCCCTGATGTCGTGGACTGATCTGTTCAGCAACGAAGAGTATTATCCTACCTTTGAGCATCAGACAGGTACGTATATCTGGAGAAGGCCATCTGAGCTGAAGTGGGCTGGGGCAGAAAGGGCTG